CTACTCCATCTCTGGAAGCTACTTCCCTCACTCTTATTTTAGACAGAGAAGTTAAAAAGCAAGGCTGGGGTGACTATGTGCCTTGGAATTAAAACAGCATCTGCAGTATTATTAGCTGGACTGAGATGCTCAGAAGCTATCAATCTTTCTGCTCAGGGGAATAATTGATTGCCAGAGGGGCCCAGATAGGCTGCTTCTCTCTCCCTGAGGTCTGGCCCTGAGTTCAGCACAATTAGCTAAGTGCTTCTGTGCTGAAGAAGGCTGGGAGCACAGTTGGCTCCTCTTAACCATAAGGTGCTTAAGAGAAAGAATGGTGCCATAAAACTGCCACCAAACCAGGACCAACACCACCCACTAACACTTCTCATGAGCAGAAGCATTCACATGTGGGAAGGGGCTCCTCTATAGGTTTTGAGAGGCTGGGCAATGTTTTTAACAGCATAAAATAAACAGGATTACAAAAGAAACACATTATTTTGAAATACATTTACCAAAATATTTTTAAAAATCAAATTGGTGGTGCATTAATAGTTGTGAATCTTGTATTAAACATTAGATAACAAGAGCTAGTGGCAGGAGCAATAAGAGTTGTTGAAGTAATGAATATTTCAAGCTATTCACAATAAAAGCATGTGAGATAGAGGTATGTTGTAATGGCTACTGGAACTGTTAATTCTGCTGTGGGTTTTTGGTCTATATTTATCACCCAAGGAAGTGCTAAGTTTCATTCAGATGATAGTGAAAATAAATAAGTTATATATATATATATATATATATATATATATATATATATATATATATATATATTTCCATCCAAGCCTACAGATATTTGAATTCTCTCCAGGTGCCTTAGGTTAAGAACTTCTGCTGTGAATGGTAATTTAAAATGACAATGACCCTCTCAGCTTAGATTGAGCACTACTAGAAAGCATGCATTTGTTCACCTTTAGTTTAACTGTGCTTGGATGAAATCCCTGAGACAGCTGGTCTTGAAGGGCCTGGAATGAAGGGAAAGTACCATATTCAGACAATATCTCCTGTCATCCAAATCTCTCCAAACTCCTTGTCATTCATCCCCTTGCCTGCTGCCCCACAGAAGCAAGGAGGGTACCATTTCTGTCTCTTCTTTCTCTGAGCCTTTTCTCTTCCCACCATTGTTCCCATTGGCGGGGGTGGGTGCAGGATTCTGAACGCACAGAGCTCACTCTAGGACTTTGGGGTGGTTTTCTAAGTGGCGTGACCAGGTTGTATTTCAGGACAGACACTTTCACGTCAGATTGAGAATATGACTCCAGCCCAGCTGCTGTGCTTCATCTCCTGGCCACTGTCACCCTTTCCCAAGACACTGCCCGCTCCTGCCTGGATTGTTTTTTTTTTTTTTTCCTTCTTGTATTTTTATTTTTTTTTTAATTTTTATTGTTGGTTGTTCAAAACATTACATAGTTCTTGACATATCATATTTCACACTTTGATTCAAGTGGGTTATGAACTCCCATTTTTACCCCGTATACAGATTGCAGAATCGCATCGGTTACACATCCACTTGTTGTAGTAACTTCTTCATTGGTTTCATCTCAGACTTTCCTACTGGCCAAGTCTGTCTTGTACCTACCTTGTTAGGGCCTGTGGATTAAAATAACTTGTAGAAATCAGTTTTCTTTTTCCTTTTTCTTTTTATTATTATTTATTTATCTTAAAAATTTTGAGGCAGGGTCTCCCGAAGTTGCTTAGGGCCTCGATAAAGTTGCTGAGGCTAGCCTCAAACTTGACATCCTTCTGCCTCAGCCTCCCGAGTTGCTGGGATTACAGGCATGCACCACCACACCAGATGCAGGAAAACTGTTTTCATTTTTTGTTATATAAATAACTACATAATCGATGCCACAATTTTGCCTCCTGGTCCACAAATCCTAAATGTTTACTATCTGGCCCTTTATTCAAAAAGTCTGCTAACTTCTGCCATAATGTATCAGGCAGGCCATCCAGGAAACCTGCTGCAATCTCAGCTGCTCAAATGGGGATATACTGACTCAGAGAACTGGTTACCCAGAAGTTTTAAGACATGGAGGCTAAAAGGACTCAGTGAAGCAACAGAAAGAAGTTGCCACCACCCAAGAAGTTGGAGGACTGAGGAAAGAAGTGGTAAGAAGTGGTACAACTCTCAGAGTCATGGATCTGGAGGCCCCCAGTAGAACTAAGGGACACAGAGCTGAGCTAGAGATGCCACCCAAGGCAGCAGAAGGGATGGGGGTGAAAACCTTGGATTCTCAGTCTCTTACCCTCAATTTCACACTAATGGCTAAAGTCACTGAAAATTGCTGGCAAGGGAATCTAGGAAATGCAATTCCCTGCAATACAGAACACTGCAAGAGAAAGAAAGGGCAAGAATGGATATTAGAGCAAACAGGCAATGGGAGTGCACTTAAAAAAAAAATGTTTGCCTTAAATTTTCTCCAAGAGCTGGGGATGATTTAAGTAAGGTGTTCAGACCATGCCTGGAACAGAACAGGTAATGTTGTTAACATTACTAATGCTGTTATTAAATTCTCCTCTGCACTTGGGTTCCCTGCATTGGATTGTCCAAGCTGGGCATTAAGGTATGGCAGAAGATGGCATTGTAACAAACCTGTCTTATCCAGAAGTTCTGAGGAATGGATGGAGTGGGACCACATTCGCAGCCCCAAAGACAGCATGGGGTGGGCCCAGGAAATTAAATCAAACCCCTTGTCCCATCCATTGAAATCACTTCATACTACTGACCACAGACCAAAGGATGGTGAAATCGGGAGTTGAGTGATACAAAATGAACTCAGGGATGCTTTGTGCTAGTGAGGATATTTTTTTTTTTTAATTTCTTCTAAGTTTGTCTATTTCTCTCCACTCATGCACATTTCTTCCTTCCTTAGAACTGTCTGTATACCAACCTCTAAAACCACAAGCATAACAGCTTAGTTTAACAAGCTTCCTCTTCTAAATACCAGCCAATGAACTCAATGATGGGTGTAATAAGATAAAGGATATAGCCAGTAGGGAAAATTCTTTGTCACCTTCACTGTCACATGCAGGGATGAAAAGGTGCACAGACAGAATCTGTTTGGACAGGATGGCTGTCCAAACAGAACCCAGGAATTGGCTCTTGGGAAGTGGAGCACCTCCAGGCCCTCCCATCAGTTGAATACTGAAACCCCAAGTTTAAGATGACTTAGGAGCTCCTACTATATGTTTATAGAGAAATATGAGTCCTCTTACTGCAGTCACCCAAGGTGTCACCATAGTCCTCTCTCCACTTGTCAGGATTCAGGCACAGTGTAAGTGATGGCTACCAATATATGCATGGTTTGATCTTATAGTGGGCCCTCTAATTCTGCTCCTCCTAGACCTGCTTCTGGGTTAAAGTTAATTTAATAAAAATCAGAGCTACTCAAATCATTCAAAGACTTTAAGTGGAAGTAACTAAAATTCTTTCTACCCAGTTCTCATATTGATTCTCAGAACAATCTTTTATGAGAATCTTCAAAGGCAGATTGGGCTTGAGACTGGCTTCAAGGGAGCTAAAATAGAAGAAAGGTTGGTTTTGATCCTAACCCCGTGTTATTCAGACCTAATTTATTCTCACAAATACTTAAAAATTGTTAATAATAATAATAAAACTAACATCCTGCTTTTAATTGACTTGGATTTTCATTCAAATTTGCTTTAAAGGAAACTTTATATTAGTTTCATAAATGAAAAAAGTAGTATCATTTGCCATAAATAGAAGGTAATCATGAAAGCAAAATGATAATATTATGTGCCCATAAAGGCACAGAATCTGAGCCCTACTCTCTCCATTGAAAAGGAGAGAATTAGCAAGTATCAAGAGAGCTATAAAGGTTATGTGAACACAAAAATAAAACATTTTCCTTGAAATAATCAAAGGATTGAAAGACAAATTATAAGGAAATCATTTCTTTCTTTGTGTGATTCAGGGCCATTCATTACTGTGTCTACCCATGAACTAAATAACCTGTATAATATTTACACAGGAATACTGACATAATTTGCAAGATCTACTGCAAAAGAAAAACTGTTTAAAAATTATTTCAAGCCAGGTGTGGTGGCATATGCCTGTAATCCCAGTGACTCAGGATACTGAGGCAGGAGGATGTTCAAGGCCACTCTCAGCAATTTAGAGTCCCTAAGCAACTCAGCAAGACTGTCTCGAAATAAAAATAGAAAGGAATTGGAATATAGTTCAGGGGTAAAGCACCTCTGGGTTAAATCCTGAGTTTAAAAAAAATTATTTAAAGACAGTGACAATAGAGCATTAAACCAAACACAGATCCTCCCACCCCTGAAATCAGTCTTGATGGCACATGTTCCATACTTTGTTCACTACAGAAAATGCAAAATCCAAGAGAATGAGTAGATATCAATGTTGTGTAGGAAATTTAAAGTCCTCAACCACTACAGGGAATTCTAAAGGTCATGATCTTTCCCAGGCAGGAAACAAAGCCAAAGTATAAGGACCATCAACATGAAGCATGCAGATGAAAACAACCAAGAGTCAAGTCCGCAGCAATAATGAGAAACGTGGGTGGAACCATTTCACAGAACCATTTGTGACTAGCTTTCAGAAAACCAGCTTCCTCTTCCTTAAAATAGTCAAGGTTAGATTTGAGAAATACAAATGAAAGAGCCGTGGATGGCATGCACAGTCAGATACGCCCGGCAGCATTCTGTAGAGACACTCCAGACAGAGCTCTTGAGAGTGCACTGAAGGATTGATGCACAGGGAGCTGTAAGCAGAGTCACAGGCACCAAGATGGACGCTCACACACCAGGACTAAGAACACAAGAAGCTGTTACCACCCCTGACCTGAAAGGGTGAGGACATGAATGGCTGTTGGAATTTAGAAAGAACTGAACCCCTGGGGAGGAAGCTGTCCAACCAAAGCCAGGGCCTAGTGGGAGGAACACAGTCCCTGCCAAACCACAGCCTCATAGGGAAATAGCAAGAAGAATAAATGGATCTACTTCTTTCTCTTCCCAGAACTTCCCTTTGACTGAACCAACCCAGAACCAGGGAGCAAAAGATCCTAAATGATACAGTCCCAGAAATTAGCCTCCTGAAGCTACGGTAGAGAAGATAAGAAAGGGATTGGTTCAGAGGACAAGTGGAAATTATAAAGCACCTCTGGTGACAGGTATGTGTGGGGTGCTGGAGATTGTTTGGGACTACACTCAGCGACATCAATCCCTTTGAAAGGTGATTGCATTCACTGACCTAGGGAATGCAGAGAAAGGGCAGTTTGACGTAGGAGTTAACACAGTCTGTTTTGGCATGCAAATTTGAAGGCATAAAGGATACGCACCACGCAGAGAAATGAGGAATGGCACCATAGACCTGGAAGTCATGGACCTGCATAAGGGAGTTAAAGTCAGTGATCAAAAAAGAAGCCCAAGAACCATGGTCCAGCAACACCAACCTGTAAACAGGACCTGGTAAAGGAAATGTGGTAAAAGAAAGTAAAGAGAGGCCAGGTGGGTAAGAAGAAGCTGGACTGGGTTTAGTTTTACAGAGGTGGGATGGGATCAGGGCAGGGTAGAAATATTTGGTTAGGATATCTCTGGAGGGAGGGAGCCTCTGTCACCACATGTGAAGCATTAAGTGGGAATCCTGCATGGTAGAGGTGTGTGGAGGAGATGACCTCTTAGCCATGTTCCGATCCCATGTTTCCACCACATTCAGAGACAAAGTAGCTGCATTAGGTCTCAGCTAGGGCCCTACACAGTTCCCAGTTTTGCCTCCAAATGGGAAGGCAATCCCTCAAACACAGCAATCCCCAGCTCAGGAACCACCTCTGACTTCCATTTCCCTCTACCACTAAAATGTTAGCCTCCTCTGAAATCAGCACAGAGGGGTTAGCTGGCAAGTGTGTGCTTGAAGGGGATGGAGGTGCAAGAAACAATGAGAGGAAACAAATTTCCCTTGGAGCCTTCGAGGCAAATCAGGGCCAACACTCCAGCCATGAGCTTGGGCCATTTGGGGGGCTGATGCTCAACTACCCAGGGGACAGATAACAAAGAAGCCAATTCTCCTCCTCAGCCCTAAAGAGATGCCCAAGCTTCTCTGCAGATGACAGCTCTCTGCTGTCTGCCAGATGCTACCCATCTCCCCCACCCCCATCCCACTTCCACAGCCCTCTCCAGCTACAGAACCACATTAGGGCCACCTTCTTCCCAGGGCATGTGCACCCTTAGTTGACCGAGGCCGAATATAGTCATGCCTGGAACTAAGGAAGAAAAGATCAAAGAGAGCTGTTTCTACCCTTCAGTCCCTAGGAGTGCCCCATGGCCAGGCTCCCCGAGAGGTGCCCTTCCTGTTACTCTGAATGTCCTGAATCTGGCTGACAGGGAAAGCCACGGCTGGGTAAATGATCTGGAAAGCCTTGGGTGCTTCCTAGGAAGAGCATCTTTTGCCAAAACTGGTGAGTAAAGAGTCCCCCTTTCAAGCTCAACCCTATTGCCTTCTCTAAGAAAAGCTGTTTTGACAAGAGCCTCAGTGCAACTGGCCAAATGAGGCCAGCTCCTCTCCACCACATCTCATGTGCCTCACCCCTGCCTGGTCGGGACATTGCCAATGAATGTTAGGTAATGTCTACTAAACTCTGGAGCCACTGTCTCCTCATCTAGGGAGAGATTTGGTCTAAATGGCTTCTGAAAGTTTGGACTCTCTAATGTGACTCTTGAAGCCCCCGCCACTGAGTCAAGGTGCATTCCAGCTGGTCGAGGGAGAAATGGCACACTACCCCTTGTAGTCTTAGAGGAGGGACAGAGAAATGCAGAATAACTCCATTGGAAGTGCAAAGAAGTATAAAGTGAACTCAAAGGAGGAAGCCATTAAGTCTAGCTGGGACCAGTTGTTGTTTTGATTAAAAGCTCTTTTTTTAACTAAACATGTACCATTATGTTCCAGGTTATGCATTAGCTACTTACCCAGTAATTAACTCCCACAGTCCCCGATTCAGCCAGTCTTTTTAATCTCTTTGAATAGATTATGAAACTGAAACTGATTGGGAAATTAGCCTCTTGGTAGAGATTAGGAAACCCAACCAAAGGCCACAAGATATTAGGTGAAGGAGTTTGGGTGGGTAGAGGTGCTTAAAATCACTACAACATATGAGAACTGGATCAACAACAGATGAATTATCAGCATTTGCTGAATTCCATATAATCATTCATTTGGTACACACAAAATTTTACCCCACAAGAAAGAGATTATTTCAACTCCCATCTTACAAATAATGAACTCAGTCTCAGAGAAGTATTTTTGACCTGTCCAGAGTCACACAGAAGCCAAAATTAAAATCCAGGTCCTAAGTACCACACGATTCTGCCCCCAGATGGGAAGATGTAAGTGTGAGTAATGCTCCAAAGACCATTTCGGAGTTTGGATTCCCCGCAGAAGCACAACCTGATTGGAAACTTGGGCACAGGTAGTTTATTGTGAAAGTGATCCTAGGGAGCAGAAGAGGGTAATAGAGGGAAGGGAAAAATTAAAAGGCAAAGTAAAGGTGTGCATCAGGTTGCCACTGTGAACAGCTGGCTCACTCTTTTGAACTGTCCAAGGAGCCTGCAAAAGGCCTCCTAGAACTGCTCCTACAGGAAGGATGAGGGTATATTCTGCAAGGGTCTCTGCCTCCCCCCATGATGTAGGGCCTGCTGAGCTCCCTCTGGTGTCCCTGGCATGAGGGGAGCCGTGGACAGTAGGCAAAGACTTAGGCACATAAATGAAGCCAGACACTGTGATAAGAAGTACAAAAGGAAGCCAACTCAGAGTCCCAACCTGGGCTGAATTCCAAGATGACCTGGTAAGGCAGCAGTCCAGGCCTGCCTTCAGGGAAGGAGTGGTGGATGGGGACAGCCCAGTCACAGCAGGCAGCAGGGCCAGGACAGAGGTGGGATTAAGTGAAGCATGTTCATCCAACACCTGTAACTTCCTCCTGCTGCTACCCCAACACCCACAACTTCCATCACACTAGTTAAGAGCTCTTCTCTTGAAATCATAGAAATGAAGCCATCTTCTGCCCCATGCAGTGGCAATGCTGGACCCTCAGCTCCTGGGATTTTTTCTTTCTTTCTTTTTTTTCCCCCTTAGGAATAGCTGTATAGAATTGAGTTTGAATGCTCAGACTGTCTGTGTGTCCCTGAGCAAGTTATTAATCTCTCTGAACCTCAGTATGTTTCATCTGTAAAGCAGAACAATGATAACCTACCTGGTAGAGTTGAGTGAGGATCAGATGATATTTTTCTGCCTCTATGTAACTCACTTAGAATAGAAAGATGGCATTTCGTGAGCACCTCATCAAGGGTGGATGTGCACCCTTTAACATTTCTGAGTCAATTCACACCAACATCAAAGGGAAGAACTAGATATAATTAGTTATCATTTAAAGAAAAAAAAAGGGAAAATGCTGAGAGTGCTAGGTGTGATGGGGAAAAGATTTCATTTTCCAGCTAGAGGAACTTAGGACTGATGACCTCTCTGAATTTGAGATTTTTAGACACAAGAGGAGATAATCATTTTTACCTGCCTCCCAGCATTGCCGAAGCCCATTGGAGATTAGTAACATGAAAATGCATTGTAAACCCTAACGCGATATAAAGATGTTATTATTGTGATTATAATTGGGATAAGAATTGTAGATTCCTTCTCCCCTAAATGTGCACTGCACACAATCCCCAGGCTGACTGCTGCTCAGCTGCCAGAAGGAGAGCAAGACATTTTCACCTTAAGGTCACCGCCATCGAAAGGAGTGCGTGATTAATATCAGAGACACTCTGCAACAGCTGCTCAGGTTGAGCCATTCATACCATCAGAGTCAAGGACTGGGCTGCTAATTTATTTATGTATGAGGATGACAACCAGGGAAAGCAATTAGAACTAAGGCATCTGTGCTTCTGTGATCCCTGCATGCTAGACCCATGGCGGAGGGGCTCCATGGAAACCTTAACAGTTGCTAACTGCTAACTGCCTTCCCTCCTGGTTGGTTCAAGCCCACTCTTTAAATACAAAACGAGCCATGTTTGTGCCCCAGCCCCTCATCTGTTCCCTTCCACACGCCAGTCCAAATTAGATCACAAGTGGCAGGGGTGCTGCAGGGGAAACGGGCTTGGAAACAAAGGTGGGGAAGGTTCTAAAGCTTTCCAGAGTTCTTTACAGCTATCAATTAACGAATCCTGCAACAGCCAGGGAAAGTAGGTCAATATTATCATGGCTGCTTCGTGGATGAGAAAACAGGCTTAAGAAGAATGGCTTGCCCAAGGCTAAGCCACTGATCAGAAGAGCAGAAGCAGAATTAGCTGGGAGAATTCCTGACTCGGAATCTTTGGCCAAGAGTCTGCTTGCTTAGCATGCAGAAGGTGATCAATAAATGAGGTAGACTCCCTGACTGAGTCCTAAACAGATGCATTAATCTCATCTTGGGTACAGTAGCAGATTTTAGGTCCAATTCAGGTCCTAAAGCCAGAAGAGTTTTTAAATACGGGTCCTAATCCTGCAAAATCCAAGAAAATAACTCTGCATGTACCCAAATTAAAAGGAAAATGGAGAGGTAACTTTGTCTTCATAGTGCACATTATTTTGGCTGCCCTACATCTCAACAGTGTTCTTGCCGGGAGGCAAAGAGAGGCTAACAGAGTTTCCCTACCCTTTCCCCCTCCCTTATAACCCTATAAAAGCCAAATTACCTCCTATTTCACCTCTTGGGGAGATTAGAGATTGTATCCTGTGGAAGGGCAAGGTCAGGGGTGGGGGTCCTTGGGTAACACAAGGATGACCAGAGGCCACAGGTATCATGCCCAGTGGCACAATTCTCACAAGATGGTTCACATAGAAAGTCGTTGGCTGATTTTACTTCCCTCATCCTCCCAATATCTGTGCACCAGTTTGTTTGTTTGTTTGTTTCTTCTATCTATCCCAATAAACCCTTTGTGCCTTTGTTGTTTGCAATCCTGACTAGTGTAGTTTCTGACCTAGAAATGTAAGCATTTACAGAGGTGAATTGCCGCAGTCTGGCTGGGCACAAAATCACAAGCCACTCAAGCAGGAACAAACTTTATTTTTGAAACTGCCACCAATGCCCCCGTACGCTACCGGGAAATAAGCAGATCAACACACGAGGCGTTCTCCAGGACCCCAACAGGAAGTCCCTCCTCCGGAATTCCCTCCTACAGCACTTCCCCAACCAATGGGAACTCTCCAGGAGTCCCGTAGCAGGCCAAGGTGGACAGCAGGAGTCCAATATCCATATGAATGCAGATCTTAACATAATCATATCATCTCAATGGCTTGCTGGCGTCACCTTTCAACCAAAAATGCCATGCATCATATTACTTGGCTGTGGCTCTTAGCAGTGAATCACAATTGCCATCTCAGATTTCCATACATTGCTGGTGGGAGCAAAAATGGACAAGACATACCACAGAGAGCAATTTGGCAATGGTTTTCATGTGCCCTTTGAGCCAGCTCTCCACCTTGAGGCCTATTTCTTACATATATACTTGCATAATTGCAAAATGATTTATATACAAAGTCATTCTGCACTTGTGTATCTATGTGCCTGATCATTCCCTTGTAATAGCAAAACATTTCAAAGGCTCCAAAGGTCCACAATAGAGGACTGATTGGATAAATTATAATATCTACACATGATGGAAAGTTATCAAGGATTTTTTAATTATGGTATTTTCTATGTATTGATATGGAAAATTTCCCAAGTATCCCAGTAAATAAAAAACAAATGAAATACACAATAGGTTCAGAACAGTGTGTATAATATGCTATCTTTTATAAAAATAGGAAAAAATAAAGACACTCTAGCAGGTTACAAAGAAACAACAACAAAAATAGTATTTTCCTGTTGGAAGAGAAGGAATGAGGCAGAGAACAGGATGAGATAGGGAGGCAGGAGTTGAAAATTATTTTTTCTGAAGAGCTTTTTAGAATTTTGAAATTTTGAATCACTTCAATGGGTACCTATTTAAAAATTAAATTTAAAAATGCTACCTCAGCCTAAGTCTAATACATTTGAGCATTCCTGCCTTCACACCAATTCACCCATTGACTTTAGCATTTGGATAAGGCAAATGGTTAATAGTAGCCATTGACTTGACAGATTCCAGAAAATGCAGAAGGCTTGGAAATCTAAGGCTGAGAGTATAGGTTAGCTCAATGGTAGAGCACTTGCCTAGCATGTAGAAGGCCCTGGGTTCAATCCCCTGCAGTTCCCCCTCCATCCCCAACCCCCCACCAAAAAAAAGGAAGGATAAAAGAAAGAATAGAATCTGATCCAGATTTTTAAGGGAAGTAGAATATGAAAGTTCATCATATCTTTTGAATTGTGGAATACAAAGAAACTGCATTTCAGAGGAGTATGTACTCTGAAGTGTCTCCTCAAATCATATAATTCACTGGCCCTTGCGGTGG